CGCCCGCCCCCCCCTAACCCCCCCCCCCCCCCCCCCCCCATGCCTACCGTGTGATGTAGGTGCCCATGGAGGCCCAGAGGGGCACGATGACCATGCCGATGGCCACCGCGGAGGGCACCAGCGTGTAGTAGCGCTCCCAGTAGTTGCTGGAGACGAAGAGGGCATAGACACCGACTGCCAGGAACATGGCCCACTTGGTGCCGAAGAACCTGCCAGGGCAAGGAGCGGAAGCGTGGGTGGCTGTGCCAGCGAGCCATGCTGGCCGGGAGCATGGCAGGGCCGTACCTGATAAGGATGGGTGTGTAGAGCAGTGCCGCCACGGGTGTGACATTGATGCCCATCAGCACCTTGTGGTCGATGTCCTCCAGCCGGATGTTGCTGTACTTCACCTCCCGGTAGGTCTCGTCATAGTGAAGGATCAGCTGCATCTGCAGCAGGCCTGTGGGGGTCCAGGGATGGTCACCCCAAGTGACATCACCCTGAACACTCCAAGTTGTTTTGGAGATCCCTGGGAGGTCCCTTACCCAGGTAGACGCTGTAAGTGAGGGTGCCAGCCAGGCTGGCGGCCACCACGTTCTTGATGACACCGAGGCGCTTGCGGCGAAAGTACTTCTGCTCCTCCTCCTCCTCATTGTAGTCAGGGTGAGCACCCACAAAATCGTCCAGCTGTGGGCGATTCCAGCTGTCAGCCCTTGGTGATGGCCACCATGGGCCTGGTTCCCTCCCAGTGGGTGTCCCACTGGTCTCACCTGTGTCTCTGTCCCTTCAGGGCCCAGCCTGGCATTTGGCACTGTCTTAGTCCCATCCTGGCAGCCATCGATGTCCTTCTCCATTGGTGCTTCTGGGGGGCCCTGGATGGTGTCAGGGTGGAGGGGACCCTGTTGGCACCCCAAGTCTTGCACCCATATGTTTTGCACTCCCGTATCCTGCACACACAGACCGTGCACCCTCATGCCCAGCACCCCCAGCCCTTGCACCCCTACATCCAGCACCGTGTACCCATGCACACGGCAACCCCAAGCCCTAAACTCTGTGCTCTGCACCCCCAGATCCTGCACTCATGGTTTACACCCGTGTTCTGCACCCCTACACCTTCAGATCCTGCATCCCTGAATCCCGCACCCCCTACCCAGCTTTGCAAGTCCCCAGAACTGCACTTCTGGGCTCAGCACCCCCAGGCTCCTCACCCCCACCGTCACCCCTACCCCAGCCCTGCTCGCCGATGCCGGAGCCTCTCGGGGCGGGGCGGGAGCCTCTTCCTCTTTCGTTTAGTGCGGGCGGGACGGAGGTGGTTAAAGGGGCCGTTCCCGGACATCCCCCTCCCTCCCCGGATCCCCCCGGTCCCTGCCCACACTCCTCAGTGACTCCCACCCTCGCCCGTTCTCAGCACCCCGCAGCACTCATCATACTCCAACCCTCACAGCACCCATTGCTCCCCCATCGCACAGCACCCCAGCCCTCCCGCCCCCCACTTCCCTGTGACTCCCCCCAGTCTCCCCACCAGGCGTCGGGTGGGTGCTGCCTCCTCGGGGTGCCCCGTGGCGCTGAGTGCAGCGCCCTGCTGCTTTCACTTCCCCTTCCCGGCCCGGGGGATGTGCCAGGTGCCTGGGCGGGGGGACACCCCAGTCGGGGGTGTAGGGCACGTGTCTGCCCTGGCGTCACCCCAAAGCTGGGGCCGGGAGGGTGCCCGGGTGCGTGGCACGGCGGGGTGCCCCGGGGCAGGGTGGGGGGATTGCTGGGCAGGGCGGACGGGGTGACATCTCCAGGGCAGGATCTGGACCAGCCGGTAGCGGGGGATTCTTGAGATGGAACTCTTGGAAGGGTGCTGGTTTCTACAGGACTGGGGGGGATATGCAGGGAGCAGCTCCAGAAGGGTCATGGCCGTGGGGCAGGAGCAAAGGACCCCCATCCTGAGGATCCCCCACACCCCAGGCAATGGGAGCCACCCTGTGGTGCCAGAGCAAAGGGCCCTTCCTGGGAGTGGTCCTGGGAGCAGGATGAGGGGTATCTACTGGTTATGGAACCCTTGGGAAGCAAGATGAAGGGTGTCAGTGGGAACCCCATGGGTCAGGGTGATCCTGGGAGCAGGATAATGGGTTACTATTGGTCATGAAACCCTTGGGAAGCAGGATGAGCAGTGTTGGTGGGATCCCCATGGGTCAGGGTAGTCACGGTAGCAGCATAGTGGGTGTCCAATGATCATGGAAGCCTTGGGAAGCAGGATGAGGAGTGTCTATGGAACCCCATGGTTCAGGGTGGTCACAGAACAGGATGAGGAGTGTCTGTGGGAATCCATGGGTCAGGATGGTCATGGGACCAGGATGAGGAGTGTCTGTGGGGTCCAAATGGGTCAAGGTTCATGGTGGTGGTGTGGTGGCCATGGGAGTTCCACAGTCCCAAGAGGGAGGTCCCATTCCATCCTATCCCATTCCAAACCTTGTTCCCACTGCCAGCCCCATGGAGGCGGGGCCCAATCCTTCCCGCCCCTGGCCATGGGGCTCAGCCCCACAGCATTTAGGGACCCCCACCCCAAGCCTCGGCAGTGCCTGCCTGGCCTCGCGCTCCTCCAGCTTCCACACAAGCTCCCAGGTATGTGCTTCGGGGTCCCCAAAGCTGGCACTCCCTGCATGGCACCCCTCTGACACCCCCCATGCTGGTGGGGCCTGTGGGGCACGGTGGGGTTCCCTCGAGGAAGGGTGGGTGTTTGGGCACAGAGAAGAAGAGGGTGCAGCTGAGGGGCTGCAGCTCTGCCCCCCAGATTTGGGGGTGTCTTGTCCCTGAGGTCCCCATAGGTGACCCTACATCAGCAGGGCAGCCTGGGCAGGTCAGTGTCTGGAGGATGGTGATTATCCTGGGAATCCCAGGCATCTCCCAGGGCCTCCGGCAGCTGCCCTGGCTTGAGTCACCCCACAACCAGGACGGCCCCGAGCACCAAGCTGCCCTTCAAAGGTGCCGTGGTTGACTCCTATTGGGATCAAGCCGGCATCCCCAGCACTTCCATCCTGGCATAACCCACCCAGTGTCTCTCTCCAGGCCCACCACACTCTCCATGGAGACCAGCAGCTCCTTCCAACAGCTTGGCATGCAGCAGCGCCCTGAGCCGCCCAGGCAGCAGCTCCCAGGCTATGGCAAGTGCAGCACCACAGGCGGTGATCCTGGCAAAGATCCTGGGAAAGCTGCTGGGTGCAGTGGAGGCAGCGGGATCGGGAAGGGGCCAGTGCCAATGGTCTGCAGCACTCCATGGTGAGAGCAAGGGGCTGGGGGCAGGACTGGGACAGGGAGGTGGGCAGGGGAAGCTGTGGCAGTGCCAGGGGAATGGGGACCACAGGTTGGTGCTGGGGGAAAAGTCTGAGGTCTGTGAGCCACCACATCCCAGCATGGTCCAAGGGAGAAGACAGGATCTGCTGGGAATGGTGCTGTGTTGGGCTGCTCCCAGCAGTAAGGGAGACAGGTGTGTGTGGACTCCCTGCCCTGTCCCCGGGGAATCTGGAGTCCAGTTTGATGCTGGGATAACATGGATCTGGGATGACGTGAAGCTCTGGGGAGGTAGAATAGGGCTGGGTCCCCTCTAACACCCTTGTTCCTGCAGTGGGAACCCCTACGCGGGGCTGGTGAGCCACCTGCGGGCATCCTGGAACTCGGGGAAGACGCGGCCCATGGAATACCGTGTTGCCCAGCTGGAGGCTCTGGGACGATTCCTGGATGACAAGAAGCAGGAGATCCTGGAAGCCACTGAATTGGACATGGGCAAGGTAAGAGGGGCTGGGAATTGGGGGCCACTGGCATTACATCTCTGAAGTCCTTCATACACCCTTATCTGGGTATTGCATCCTTGAGGGTCTGGGCAGAGGGGTGTCCCTTCCTTGGGGTCCTGCTTCCTCCTTGATGTGCTCCCAGGCTGGTGCATCTGTTAGTGCTGGATCTTTGCAGATCCAGGGATAGTGGCAGGACTGTGCTTTTGATCCCATCCCTGGTGCCCTGAAACCAAAGGCCCTGTTGGCTTGTTGGTGACCAGCCAAGGTGGGAGTGTTTCACTCTCTGGTCTGTATCCTGGGGGTCCATGTGACCTCCACAGAGGTGACATCCTGGGGTGCCCCTTGCCAGCCCGGCACACCCAGGATTACTGGCATTGTGAAATGTGCTGGCACTGCACGTTCCTCCCAGGGCCTCCAAGGGACTGGTTTCACTGGCATGGTGGCATGGGCAGGGCTCTGGATATGGCTCAAGGTATTGTGGCATACCAGGAGCTCCTGGATGATCTGCTGGTGAAGTGTGAGCATCTGCACCATGGATAATTCTAGTGGTCTCAGCTCATCATCCCTGGAAGTGTTCAAGGCCAGGCTGGATGGGGCTTGGAGCAACCTGGACTAGTGGAAGGTGTCCCTGCCCATGACAGGGCAGAATTGGATGAGCTTCAAGGTCCCTCCCAATCCAAACCATTACAGGATTCCATGATATGATCCATACGTCTTTGTTCAGCATTGGTGAAGTGGCCCATGCCCTCAGCAATATCTTTCTTTGTCCTGCCATCTCCCAAGGCTCCTAATTGTCTTGTTTGTTGGAGGCAAGGCCTTTTCCTTCAGCCAGGCCTTGATAGGCATCAGTGCTCTGAGTGTGTCCATCATCTTTCCTAATTATGCCTAATTAGAGCCAGTTGTCCAGTAATGAGCTTGTTATGCAGCTGGGCCCTCATAGCTAGATGGACACTTCATCTGCTCTTACGTAGCTGAGGTGGTGTCTCACCTCCAGCAGTGCCAGTTCCTCTCTGGTGCTGATGACTGGTGGCACTTGGATGACCTCAGATTTAATGTCCTATCTCACAACCTTTGTATCCCATCAAAATTCTTAATGAACCATCATCCTGGTGATGTCATCCTGGGTTGAGAAGAGCCCCGTTGCTTCACCTGATCATCTCATTGTGCCTGCTGAGCCCTCATGTCCAAGAGGGTCCTTGCACCTCCTAGAAGCTGCATTTTGGGGACCTGAAGGTCTCTTGGTGGTGGAAGATCCTGGGAACCAGCAACCAGCCTTCCCAACCCCAAAGTGATGTGGGGATGGGAGGAAGACTCAAATCCAGGGATGGTTTTGGGAAGTCCAAAATGTGATGTCGCAGCACAGAAGCTTTGTCCTTCTGCTCTCCACAGTCATGAAGGGGCTCCACTGGATCCCCTAGTCTATCCCTGGTGTCTTCAGATTTCTCCTGCAAGGATGATATGATTCCAATCTCTGCTCCGCAGCTATGGAGAGGACCCACTTCCCCATCACAATTAATTAAGCTGTGGTTCTTATTACTTCCCTTTAGTCAAGGTCTGAAGACTTTGACTAAACTTAAGACTCAAAGGTGTGGCTTTTGTCCACAGGCAGTGGAAGGGAAATCAGGACCTTGATTCCAGCTTAAATATCCAACAGGTCAGGATGCCTTCTACCAGGACCAGTTCTTCAGAAGCTCTGGTGACATTGCTTGGGTGTCCCCTTGGCCCAGGGCTCTGTTGTCAGTTCCAGTGCTGAACTCGGGAATTTGTTAAATACCATGAATATGTTCAATTTTGTTTTGTTTTTTCCTTCTGGCCAAATAACAGTTTTCATAAAATTTCTGGGACACTGATATTCCCTGGGAGTTACAGGAGGTGATGGAAACTTCTGCTGAAGAGATCATCCTGCTATTCATATTTGGAAGAGGGGAGAGATGCCTCCTGGGGTGGTGGGGTTGGCATTGGAGTGATGGGGTCTGTGGTAGGGTGACAGGGTCAGTGATGGGGTCAGTGTTGGGGTGGCACTTCTGTGATGTCTGTCCCCAGCCATCCTTCGAGGCATTCTTCAGCGAGATCCTCCTCTGCAAGAACGAGCTCAATGTCACCCTCAACAACCTGTCCCACTGGATGAAGGATGAGTACGTGGACAAGAACCTGGTAAGAAGGAAACTCTGGGAAAAGGGAAGCTGGGGAGAGGGATTGCTGATGGGGAAGGCAGTGCTGAGGTTGTGTTCTTCTTCAAAGGTGATGCAGCTGGACTCTGCCTTCATCCGCAAGGACCCCTATGGGGTGGTGCTCATCATAGCACCCTGGAACTACCCCATCCACCTCTTCCTGGTGCCCCTCATTGGGGCCATCGCTGCCGGTGAGCCCAGCCTTCCAGTCCCCTGACCTGCAAGTGCCAGGGTCTCCCCAGGGGTCTTGTCCCCAGAAGGGCTGGCTATCACCATGTGACTGTGCTGATGTCCCTTTCATCTTCCCCCAGGGAACTGCGCCATCATCAAACCCTCAGAGATCTCCAAGAACACAGAGAGACTCGTTGCTGAAACGCTGAGCTGTTACCTGGACAGTGTGAGAAGCCCTTCTTGTCCTTGCCTGTTGTTCCTGAGCCGTGGTGTTCCCAACCCTCATAATCACCATCACATCACATCATCTGTGTGCAGAACCTCCTCCCTTTGCACTCCCAAAGGCAATGTCCCACCCTCCCGGGATGCTGTTGGTGGGGACAGATGGTGACACAAGGGCATTTTTTCTGTTTCCTTGCAGGACTGCTTTGCTGTGGTGACTGGTGGCATGCCAGAGACCACCAGGCTGCTGGAGAACAAGTTTGACTACATCTTCTTCACTGGTACGTCCCATAGCACAGAGCAGAGCCCTGCCTGGATGTGGTGCCAGGATCTGTTGGAGGATCTGGGATGTGTATCTGAGGTCTGGCAGGACTCAGTGCCACATCCCAGAGCCATGTGACGCCTGGTGGGATTCCCACCTCAATCCATGTTTTCCCTGCCTACAGGCAGCCCCCCAGTGGGGCAGATCGTGATGACGGCCGCTGCCAAGCACCTGACCCCGGTGACACTGGAGCTGGGGGGCAAGAACCCCTGCTACGTGTCTGACACCTGTGACGTGACCAACGTGGCGCGGCGCGTGGCCTGGGGCCGCTTCTTCAACGCGGGGCAGACCTGCATCGCACCCGACTACCTGCTCTGCACCATAGAGATGCAGGAGAAGCTCATGCCTGCCCTGCGTGAGGCCATCACTGAGTTTTTTGGCCCCAACCCCCAAGAATCCCCGGATTTTGGCCGCATTGTGAGTGACAAGCAGTTCCAGCGCCTCCGGGCACTGCTGGGCAGTGGGCGCGTGGCCATCGGGGGACAGACGGACGAGGCAGAGCGCTACATCGGTGAGGCTTGGGGGTCACTCACATCTTGGTGGGCACATTGGGGATTTTCAGGGGGTCTTCAAACAGAGGGGAGGCTCTAGAAGGAAAAGAGTTGTAGGGGTGCTTAAAAATGGGTCCTGAGGGGAGGTTTCATCTCTGATCTCTGTGTCTGGCTGATGCGGTTGGGTTTTCTCTCTGCAGCTCCCACAGTGCTGGCGGATGTGCTGCCCTCGGACCCTGCCATGCAGGAGGAGATCTTCGGGCCCATCCTGCCCATTGTCGTCATCGCCAACATGGATGAAGCCATTGATTTCATCAACGCGCGGCCGCGGCCACTGGCCCTCTACGCCTTCTCCTGTGATAGCAAGGTGTGTCTGAAGGGTCTTCAGAGCCCAAACACTCTGGGAACATCTGATGGGTAAACTGGGTAACGTTTGCCAAGTGCAAGCCCTTCATCTGCCTTCTCTGCTCCCTCCCAGATAGTGAACCAGGTCCTGGAGCGGACGAGCAGCGGAGGCTTCTGTGGCAATGACACCCTGATGCATGTGACACTGACCTCTCTGCCCTTCGAAGGCATTGGTAGGTCCAAAATCCGCAGTCCTGGCCTTTGGGTGCCAGGTGTGATCCATGGTGAGGAATGTGAGTTTTCCTCCTGCTGCCAGTGTGGTGCTAGGCTGGATCCCTTAATGTCCATCAGGAGCCAGGTTGTATCTTCATTCCAATATTTAGGACAAAATGGTAGGAACAAAACAGTTCTGGAGAAACCTGGAGAACCTCTTGTCTTATCCAAGAGATCTTGGAAATCCCCCATGGAGAAGAAGAAATTTTTGGTCTCCAGAGGCACCAATTTTTGCTTTCTCAGGTGAAAAGTGAGGCTGCTCAGCCCTAGGCTGTGGGTGCAGCATGGTCCAGGGATACAGGAATACAGGAATGTTGTTTCCCAGAATACTTCGCCATGTCTTGATCTCTTCCCAAAATATTTCTGGGATAAGTCCCCTTCATTTGGTGCTGCCCTTGCTCAGCATCTCTGTCGGGGCTGGCACTTGAGTCAGACATAATGAAACACGCAGACAATTAATTCCTCACCTGCCTGTGGCTCAGGGAACAATTTTTTATACTTCCCATTCCGTAACTTATCTTAATTGGGAATGATTCAGACCAACCACCTTCAATTATCAGGTAAAGCCACTTTAGAGCCAGTGAAGGGACTGAAGTCATTGGGGTGAGATGGCACCAAAGCTTCCATGGGAAGTCACTGGGCTCTTAACCTCCATTTAAACCAGCCACAGGAAGTGGGAAAACTGGTGTTGCCAATGTGGCTCCAGGTTTTTAGAGCTCCAGAAGGAGGTCGAGCAGCTCCAACCACGGGGAGATACGGTGGAGCATCATGGAAGGAAACCAAGACTTGCAGAACCCAGCAAAGCTTGTGTAGATAAATGGAGGTGGGTAAAAAGGAGACACTGGGGCCTCCAAACGGAGCTGAGCTGCAGCAGGATTGACTGGGCTGAACATCCATATACCTGGAGGAGACACTGAAAAAATGGAATTCCTCCACCATGTCTCTGCTGCTCAGAAAATCCTGTAGGTTCTTTTTCCCTTGTTTTGATGCTTGGAGAAGGCATCATCAGGAGCAGAGACCTGTCCTGAGCACAGACCTGTCCTGTGTGTTCCAGGGAACAGTGGCCTTGGAAGATACCATGGGAAACTGACCTTTGACACCTTCTCCCACCACCGTGGCTGCCTGCACCGGAACATGGGGCTCGAGACCCTCAACACCCCGCGCTACCCCCCCTACACCCAGCAGAAGTTGGGGCTCCTCACGACCACCTTCGAGGTGAAGCGCAGGGGCACCTGCACCCTGCTCTGAGGCTGCCATGTCCTGCTCTGAGGATGCCATGGAGTCAGCGTGGAGAACTGGGACCATCCCCCTGTCCCTCTTCACCACGCTCCCCACTTCCTCACCGTGTCCTTTGCCTTGCTGGAACATGTCGGACAGCCAGGATGGACATTCCCTCCTGCAGCCTTGTGGCCTGTGCTCTGAACCATTTTCCAGGACACAGCAGAAACGACCAAAAACCTTTCCTTCAAACCTCTCTTTCTGGTGGAGAAGTGCTTCCATCAGTTCCATCTTGCCTCACATGGACTTTTCCTTTGGAATGAACCTCTCTGCCTCCTCACTGTTGCTCTTTGCTCCATGTAACTCTGCCTGTAATAAAGACTTCGCATCAAACTCTCCCAGCCTGTCTTTGTGCCTCCCTCCTCGGGTTTGGGGGGTGCTGGGAGGGTTGAGGGGGCGTGTTTCCCATCCCAAGTGGTTTTAGCTGGAATGGAGCCAGCAGTGACGTGTGGCGGGGCAGGCGGCCAAGGGTCAGGTGGCCAAGGGTCAGGCAGGCGGCCAAGGGGCAGGGCAGGAAGCTGGCAGCCATCCTGCTAGCTGGGAAGAGGGAAGCTGTGGTTGACAACCACCACGCAACCATCCCACACCGCGCCTGTGGGAGCATGGAGACTGGAGCTGTATTTCCACAGCTCCCTGAGAGCGAGGCCAGGAGAGCCCCGGAGGGTGATGGTGGGAACGGAAGCGTGGATGGTGATGCCACGAGGTGAGAGTGTGGAGGGACAGAGGGGCGGCAGGAGTGGTCCCAGTGCTCCATCCTCTCCCTGGAGTGGCAGTTGGATGCCGGGCTGGGGTGATGCAGAGCTCTAAGGAGCTGGAATGGGGCTGGCATCCCTCTAACACCTCTGTCCCCACAGCAGGAACCCCTTTAAAGGGCTGGTGAGCCACCTGCGGGCATCCTGGCTCTCTGGGAAGACTCGACCCATGGAATACCGCATGGCCCAGCTGAAGGCCCTGGGACACTTCCTGGATGACAAGAAGCAGCAGATCCTGGAGGCCACTGCCTCTGACTTGGGCAAGGTGACAGGGGACAGGGATAGGAGGACTTGGTGGCTGGAGGAGCTGAGGGGCTCCCACAGCACAGCTGGGGGTGCTTTGTCCTCCTCTCATTGGGTTCTCCTGCCCTGCCTGTGCTCTGCCCTGGGTTCACAGCCTTGGGATTTGGGAGACTGAGGTGAAGCATGTCCCAGTCACCATCCTCCAGAGTCCATCCCTGCTCCGCCATAGACAGAGGGGCCTGTGGGGAGCCCCTTGACACAGATAGCCATTCCCACACTCACCAGCCTCAGTTTCCCTCTTCCCTGGGCAGGTTAATCCCTGATTTCTGTCCCTGCTCCCTGCCCTGAACTTCCTACCTGATGTCACCCCCTTCCCTCCCGTGGGGCTCACCCAGGCTGTGACTCTCTGAGCTCAGATCACCTGGCTCTACAGCCAGAGCCTTAATACCACACAGAGCTCACAGTCTTCTCCAACCTAGTCCCTTTGGACACCTTCTCAATTCTTCCTGTTGTCTGGATGAATGGGATCTGCACAATTTTCCCTATTTTTAAGCAAATTAAAGCAATCTGAAAAACATCATGTTGCAGACACAAGGGGGTACTCAACTTTAGGGACTCAAATCCAGCATGGGATGTAGAAGGCTCCCAAAATCCTGGGCAGTCCTGGGCAAAACACTATGGAGTGTTGGCATAAGAGTTGCAGTACATGCTAAGGTGACATGTTGCATCCTTGGTATCTGCAGGCACCCTTTGAAGCTGAATTATCTGAGATCCTCCTGTGCAAGAACGAGCTCCACGAGACCCTGAACAACCTGGCCTGCTGGATGAAGGACGAGCAGGTGGACAGGACTCTGGTGAGAGGGAAGAGGAGAGAGAGGATGGGAGGCAGAGCTGGGTGGGATGTTGGTGCAGGGTGGGACCTGACGTGGCAGGTATCCCACAGGCGATGCAGCTGGACTCTGCCTTCATCCGCAAGGACCCCTACGGGGTGGTGCTCATCATAGCACCCTGGAATTACCCCATCCACCTCTTCCTGGTGCCCCTTGTCGGTGCCATCGCTGCTGGTGAGCCCAAACTTCCAGTCCCCTGGCCCAGAGGATCCCAGCAGTGCTGAGCACTGGTGAGGGCACATTGTCCATAGAAGGGGTGTCTGTCACCATGTCTCCAACATCCTGTCTGTGTTCCCCAGGGAACTGTGTCATTGTCAAACCCTCAGAGGTGTCCAAGAAGACAGAAAGACTCGTAGCAGAAGCGCTGCCTGGTTACCTGGACAAGGTGGGACACTCTTCCCATCCCTGTGGCATGGCTGGGGCACCCCTGCACACACAGAGCTCTGTGCCTGCCCCACACACCATCTCTGGTTCCATGTACTGCCCAACTTCCTTCCTCCATGCCCAGCCACTGTCCCACCCTCCCGGGATGCTGTTGGTAGGGAGAGATGGTGATAGGAAGGGGCCTTTCTCATTTCCTTGCAGGACTGCTTTGCTGTGGTGACTGGTGGCATGCCAGAGACCACCAGGCTGCTGGAGAACAAGTTTGACTACATCTTCTTCACTGGTACGTCCCATAGCACAGAGCAGAGCCCTGCCTGGATGTGGTGCCAGGATCTGTTGGAGGATCTGGGATGTGTATCTGAGGTCTGGCAGGACTCAGTGCCACATCCCAGAGCCATGTGACGCCTGGTGGGATTCCCACCTCAATCCATGTTTTCCTTGCCTACAGGCAGCCCCCCAGTGGGGCGGATTGTGATGACGGCCGCTGCCAAGCACCTGACCCCGGTGACACTGGAGCTGGGGGGCAAGAACCCCTGCTACGTGTCTGACACCTGTGACGTGACCAACGTGGCGCGGCGCGTGGCCTGGGGCCGCTTCTTCAACGCGGGGCAGACCTGCATCGCACCCGACTACCTGCTCTGCACCATAGAGATGCAGGAGAAGCTGCTCCCGGCCCTGCGTAAGGCCATTGATGATTTCTATGGCCCCAACCCCCGAGAATCCCCGGATTTTGGCCGCATTGTGAGTGACAAGCAGTTCCAGCGCCTCCGGGCACTGCTGGGCAGCGGGCGTGTGGCCATCGGGGGACAGACGGACGAGGCAGAGCGCTACATCGGTGAGGCTTGGGGGTCACTCACATCTTCATCCCTGCTTGGAGCACATTTTGGGTTTGGAGACAATTATGACAGGAAGCAGGTGCTTGGCCAGGTGGCTTTTGTTGCAGGAGGTGGGTCCTGGGGGACAACCAAGGTGTCTTCTCTAACCTTTGTGCCCAGCTGATGCTGTTGGGTCTCCTCTCCGCAGCTCCCACAGTGCTGGTGGATGTGCAGCCCTTGGATCCCATCATGCAGGAGGAGATCTTCGGGCCCATCCTGCCCATCATGATCATCACCAACATGGATGAAGCCATTGACTTCATCAACAGCCGGGAGCGGCCCTTGGCTGTGTACGCCTTCTCCTCCGATGACAAGGTAGAGCCAAGCTGTCCTGTGCTCCTTGGCAGCTGTATCCAGCCATGTCTGCGTTCCAAGTGTTTCCCTTACAGCACACAGCTCTAGTTAGGTGACATGGATTGTGTTTGGAAGCAGGGGAATGGGGTGGGAGACCCACATCCCATCTTGTCTGTGTCACTCCCAGGTGGTGAACCAGGTCCTGGAGCAGACAAGCAGTGGAGGCTTCTGTGGCAACGACACCCTGATGCATGTGACACTGCCTTCGCTGCCCTTTGGAGGCATTGGTAGGTCCAAAATCCCCAATCCTGGCCATTGGGAGCCAGGTGTGATCCCACCCATGGTCAGGAGGGGTCTCAGGAGGAACTCTCAGCTCCAGAGGGCTCAGTAGTCCATAAGGAAATTGTCCTCCAGAAGCACTTTTCACCTTGGGCTCTTGGGCTTTGTTGGACACCTATGGAGCACCCTGAGGTTCTTTCTCACCATATTCCCCATCCCAAGCTCTGTGTCCCCTGAATTCATGGAAATGTCTTGCTTAAAACAGGGAATCAGGGCTTGAAGCAAACTGGTCTAGTGGAAGGTGTCTCTGCCCATGGCAGGAGGTGGAACTGGATAATCTTTAAGGTCCTCTCCAACCCAAACTATTCTAGGATTCCATGATGGAGACACCCCCTTTTTATGGGATGATCTCCACTACCAGCTTCTGTTTTTCACTCCTGTTTTCCACCTATTTTTCTCTCTTCTCACTCAGTTGGCCAGGAGGCATCAGTGACCTCCCTTTATCCTGGGGCTGCTGATGTGCGAGGTACTGAACCCAATGCATCACCCCAACCAGGATTAATGTTTTATCAGGAAGACTGACTAACTCAGGCTGACTCATGCAATTTTATCCCACCTGTTATCAAATGATGTGTGGATTTAGTTATTTTTTGCCAGTCTGCCTGGCTTTCCTGTGCTTGTTCCTGGCCAGCCTGCTTCCACCTCCCAACATTCATCCTTGGTGCTGGGCAACCTTGGACATTGTGCCTCTCCACCCCTGCAGTCTTGCCCCCTTGCAGCAGGGCTGGATCCACCATGGATGGGATGTCTTTTGGAGGGTACTCCTGTGGTAGGGAAGCTCATCTGGTGGGAGCATCATGCTGCTGCCATCACCTCGTCAGCGACACTCTTCCAGTTCTAAATATGTTAATTGAAATGGTAAAATCCACCGACGAGGGTTTTTGGGAATCTCTCCACCTCCCAGCCTGATCTTCCCACTCCAAACATCCACTTGGGTGTGCACTAGGTCACATCCATGGTCCTCTTTGGGTCACATCCCTGGGAAGCTCATCTATGGCTTGGAAAGCAGCTGGATGAAGTCGTGCTGCTGCTTTTACAGAGCTGGGACCTTAATTTTGGGTTCTTCGACCCAAAGGATGGCCAGATCCAGCTACCCTCCAAGATCCTGTGCTGTGTATTCCAGGGAACAGCGGCCTGGGAACGCACCATGGGAAGTTCAGCTTTGACACGTTCTCCCACCACCGCGGGTGCCTGAAGCGCGGGATGGGCTGGGAGCGCCTCAACGCCCCGCGCTACCCCCCGTACAGCCAGCAGAAATTTGGGGTCATCCGGGCCATGTCCAAGGTGACACGTAAGAGTGACTGTACCCTGCTCTGAGGGTCTCCACATCCCACTCGGAGTCTCCCCACTCAGCACATCTCCTGCTGCTGGTCCCGATGCTCAGGTGCAATGAAAGCTGTTTCTCCACATCCTGTGTGCTTCCCTTTCACCGCCCTGCACCCCTGCT